ATTATTATTATTATTATTATTATTATTATTATTATTATTATTATTATTATTATCATCATCACTATTATCACTATTATAATAAAAATTATTATTATCGTCATCATCATCTTTTATTAATATCATTCAAAGGAGCAGAAAGGGCATAGCCGTATAGTTCATAAATTTATCCGTATTTTTTACATCTTTTTTCCATTTGTGCATTGATAGACTTAATTTTTTTTTTTTTTAAACCGAAAATGGTATTGCACTCTGTCGCAAGTATAATAAGTGGATGACTCAAGCTCCAACTTCATAACTATTTCGCCTATTCTTTTTATAACATGTACATTCTCTTGATTTGTCTGCGGGCGGTTGGAGGGCGCCACTAGTAGGTCCCACTTCTTTACTTTTCCTGTGTTGTGTGTTTATGCCTGTCTGTCTTACTTTTTCCCCAGCGCTAAATGGCCATTATTGTGTCGATGTGCTTCTCTTTACTCAAACAAACACTGATTTTTTTCTGAGCTTTAAAGGCCAGCAAAAAGTGGCTGCTAACTACCAGAGTGATTGAGGCACAAAAATTTTTTCTGTTATAGTCTTTCCATGAAAATTGCAAGTTGCCATAATATTATCGCTTACGAAACTGAACACAGAATTGCCATCGTCTGGCTGTTAAATGAATTTTTGGAAACTGTCTAAGAAGATCTTGAACTTACGTAAAAGAATGACACCTTGAGAAAAAACTGAATGTAGTCATTAGATCTCTGTGAATTTATATCTACTCAGCCCTCCCCTTCTCCCCGCCCCCATCTGTCGCCTCCCGTTTCCAACATGCATGTAACATTTCTTAAAAGTTAAAACCTTGTATCAGCTTCAATGACTATAATTCAGAAAATAATACTATTTCAGCATCTGTGACTCGAAGGACGCAATAAAAACAACACAAACAAACAAACAAACAAATAAAGAAACAAAATGAACAAACAGACAAAACAAATAAACTCACCCAATATCTAACATTAATTTTTTTGTCATCACAGGAATGGAACTCCAATCCCTTGGTTACCCTAACACACCCGCTAAGGTCAACGACTCTACGGGCACCCTAGGCAGCGTATCCCCCCGATCAGACGACTCGAACCCCAACAACGAAGAGACCAGCTCCGAGGCGCTGTCCGGCGACATCAAGAAACACGTGTTGGGCGGAGGCGGTGGGGCTGGGTCGTGTCTGGATGGCGGCGACACCTCAGAAGAAGGTATGAGCGAGGAGCAGGCGAAGATGTACTCCGGGACCTCTACGCTATCCCAACAGGCTCGGCGTTTCGCAGACGTGAAGCCTCCCTACTCCTACATCGCTCTCATCACCATGGCGATCGAGAGCTCCCACTCAGGCATGATGACCCTCAACGAGATCTATAGCTTCATCATGAACCGTTTCCCGTACTTCAAAGAGAACCAGCAGCGCTGGCAGAATTCCATTCGCCACAATCTTTCCTTAAACGACTGTTTCGTGAAGATTGCCCGGGCCCCAGGTAGACCGGGCAAGGGAAATTACTGGGCTCTGCATCCGGCTTGTGGTGACATGTTCGGCAACGGAAGTTTTCTAAGGCGGGCGAAGAGGTTCAAACTGACAAGGCCCAAGTCGGAAAACAGCTCTCACATCCAGCACGTGAACTCCTACAGCCATTTCAACATGTACGGCCCGCACACGGGTGGATACAAACCGTACCCGTCCTTCAACCCACTGGCATTTGGCTCTCTGTCTCACGGTCTGTCACAGGCCCAGCAGTATGCCCTACAGCACAAGCCGCAGGATGCGTGGGGATCCGCCCCCAGCTACGCCTCTTACTACAACAACAGTGGGATGGCTCCAACCCAGGGTCTGGCCACGCCTCCGCCTCCACTGGGCGCTAGTTCAACCACTGGGTCAAGCTTCCAGAGTTCTGGACTGTCTAGTCACCACCTCGGCTCCTCCTCTTTAGCCTCATCACACCTGACAGGCTCCGCCCATCTCGGTAGCTCCCCCCATATTGGCACGTCCTTGCCCTCGTTAGGCGGGGCTTCTCTGGGAGGCTCATACAGCAGCTCCCATTTCTCCGCACCGACACTTGGTGCTTCGGGCTTCTCAAGCAGCACGCTAACCGCGCCACCACCACACCTGGGCAGCTCGTACCACCTTCCAGTGAGCATGGCACCCCAGGTTCCGTCACCAGGTCCTTCCTCTAACGGACTGCCCAGCAGTTACCCCGCTCTCTCACAGAACCCTTACAACTGTTCGCAATACGCACCACAGCCGCCACTCAGAACGTAACGTTTACTTGTTACTCATGACGTTTTAAGAAATCCTAACCCAGAACTAACACGAGCCCTTCCGACAGGGGCGTTGCTCACGGGCGTATCAGTTGAGTGATAGCCCGCGGCGCGTTCTCCTACGCCAAAGTGGCATTTGGTTAATCCAATAAGTGAGCAGCTTGTAGCGTCCATTTAAACATTGTCATTGATGCTCTTGTTGAAATATCTCACTGAGAATACAAGTAGGGTAAACACCACCCCGATTTATTTCCTACTTCCATATATGCAGCGTCACCTCTATATGAAACAGTACCCTCTTTGATCTCGACTCTATCGTTCTCCCAGAATGACAAATTGAGATTAAAAAAAAAAGAAATATGATCTTTGTAGGATCTGTGAAAAAGAGAACGTGAACTCCCTCTCAGCCCGGGCTGGCCCTGATAGACAAGGTCGGAAGCCC